TGCGCAGCAAGCTGAGGGGGCTGGCGGGGGAAGCAGGAGTGGCGCGCATGGACGAGGCCCTCGCCCGCACCCAACGAGACTTCCTTGCTGGCACTCTCCCCGGATCTCCCTCCGCCTCCCCTTCCCCCTCCCCCTCCCCGTCGCCTTCCCCCTCGCCTTCCCCGTCGCCCTCCCCCTCCCCTGCTGTCTCCGCCACTCCTTCCCCCGCCTGCTCCCCGTTCACCCTCTCTCGTGCCTCCCCGGGTGCCTCGTCCCCCACCCTCTTCTCCCTCTCCTCCCCCACCAACCCAAGCCCTCTCTCTGCCACTGCCACTCCCACTGCCACTGCTAATCCATCCTCAGCTGCAGCAGCAGCCACCAGCTCTGCTGCTACCGCTGCTCCCTCCAGAGTCCCCAAGGCCCGTCGCTCGCTCTTCCAGTTCTCCTTCCCGCCCAGCAAGCCAGCTCCGGCTGCAGGCTCGGACGACGCATCCAAGGCTGCAAGGGAGGTTCGTGGGGCGCTGCAGGGGGCAGTGGCAGGGCCGGGGGGCAGCCCCAAGAGGGCAGGGGCGTTCTTCGTGCCTTTGGACGCTGAACCATCAGCCTCCTCTCTCCCTACTGCCTCTGCTCCTGTTGCTGATTCTGCTGCGTCTGCTACTACTGCTTCTGCTGCTGGTGCTGGTGCGAGTCCTTCAGTGGTGGCCCTGCCCGTGGGTCCTCCTCCGCCCCCCCCTGAGCTGCTGCAGCTGCACCTCAGCCTCTACCGAAGCTCCACCCTCGCGGCGTCCGCTGCTGCCTCTACTGCTGCTGGTACAGGAGCAGCGGCACAAGGAGGCGGGGACCTGGAGGCGAGGATGAAGGTGAGCAGTGAGCTGTCACTGGTAGCCTTCTGTGCCGTGTACTTGCTCCATTCACACGTCACCACTTGCTTTGCTGCTCACCTCACCTTCCCCTCTTGCTTCGGCTCTTTCACCCGAGCACCCCTCCCCCCACTGCCATCCCCCCTGCGTGCTGCCTCCCTCTCCCCCCGCAAGGCGGCCATGCACCGCGCCTTCTGGGGCGCCACTCTTGGCTCCTGGCTCACCTCGACTCCCCATCCACCTTCCATTGCCTCTTCACACTCCGCTTCTTACCTGTGCTCCCATTCCCCTCCCCTTCCCACCTATCCGCCTCTGCCCACCGCCCCTGCCCACCTCTCCCTACCAGGCCGCCTTGCACTGCGCCTTCTGGGACGCCACACTCGCCTCGCTGCTTGCCTCGACTTCCCTCCCCATCCCCTCCCCTGGCTCACCTCCCTCTCCTACTCCCCCCCTCCCCCCCACCAGGCCGCCATGCACCGCGCCTTCTGGGACGCCACACTCGCGTCGCTGCTGGCCTCGCCGCCCGACACGGCAGCAGCGGCGCGCCTGGTGGGCGAGCTGCGGGAGGAGCTGCTGCGCGTTGCCCCGCGCGCCTGGCATGACGAGGTCACAGCCAACCTTGCTCTGGATGAGGCTGACCTTGAGAAGGTGAGCCACCAGCACAGTGCAGTGCGGTGTGGTGTGGTGGGTAGTTGAATATGGCCCACCTGGTGGGCAAGGCGAGTTGCGGGAGGAGCTGCTGCGCATTGCCCCCGCAGCAAGACAAGGTGACAGCCAACCTTGCTCTGGATGGCGGGCGGACCTGGAGAAGGTGAGGGAGAAATCTGCCGCGCAATGTGGTGGGTGATTGAATGTGGTGGGTGGTTGATGTGGTGCGTGTCCGTGAGCCAGCCGCACTGCCCTTTTTCACCCAACCCCATCCACTCCCATCCACCTTCCACCCCGTCCCGTCTCCCGGCTGCCGTCTCCCCTGCTCCCTTGGCTCAGATGCTCACACACGGCACCCCCGACGCCTTCCACAGTCTGCACGCGCTGCTCGCCTATGCCACGGATCTCACTCTGCGCCTCGGCGCGCCCTTCCGGGACGACGCCACGCGTGCCGCCTTGGCACGGCTCAACCAGGAGCTGGGCACGCTGGTGGCGACAGGTGGCACGCGCTCATTGGCAGATGCGGTGGTGAAAGGGCTCAAGTTTGCCTTTGAGCGCCTGGAGGTGAGGCTGTGGGGGCTAGGGACCTAGGGTTGAGGAGACGGCTGGAGGATTACTATGGTGCTGTGTGGGGGGCTTGAGTTTGCTCTTGGGCAGTACGATGTGCATTGCATGGCTGGTTAGGCTTGTCGGTTGAATGACTGGTGGCGTCACATCCTCATGTCACGCGCCTTCTCTGATCGTCGTGACACTCTGCCTTCATCCTTCCCTTCACGTAGCCTTCGTTTTCCCTTCCTCTTCTCCCATGCCCTGCCATGCATGCTGCATCAGGAGCTCAAGGCGGACATAGCAGCAGCACGAGCTCGTCTCACGCCCCTCGCCACCACCGCCGCTGCTCTCCAAGCTGCCCTCACCAAACGTTTCGACCTGCCCGTGTACCCCACCCCTGCTGCCCTCACTGCCTCCCCGTCCTCGCCTGCTCTCTCCCTCTCAACCATCAAGGAAAAACTTCCGTGCACTTTCTCCTGGGTTGCCAGCTCTCTCAGCCAATCCATCCCCTCTGCACGAACCGAGCTTCAACCATACCTTGCCACGTCAGCATCCACTTCCTCCAGCTCAGCAGCATCGTCAGCAGCTGCCACTCTCCCTTCTGCATCCGCCCTCCGCACTGGCCAGCGTGCTTTGGCTTCTGGCACAAGCACAAGCGGCAGTGGGACTGGGTCTATCGACTGGGCGGCAGCAGCGTGTGTGGTGCGCGTGGGTTTGGTGGAGGTGGTGATGTCAGCGGAGGGCGCGGAGGGTGGCATGGTGGCAGAGGTGCTGTGGCTGGACGTGGGGAAGCTGAGGCACGCCCAGAACGGGTTCCAGTGTGTCGTTGTGGTGGCCATTGGGTGAGTGGCGAGAACGAGGGAGGAGTGTCAAGTGCATGGTGTCTGTTTCTGTCTAAGTACCTCACCTCAGAAGGATATCTCATACTGCAGAATATTTAAAACCTCCATTTCTCCCCATTGGCTCAAAATACCCTCTGGTCTCCCTCCCTCTGGCCCCTCCCTGCAGTCTGCTGCTGCTGCGTCAGCTACTGGCAGCACGAGCCATCCTGCCATCGCCAGCAGTGGAGGCCGTGGTAGCCGCCACGCGCATCACCCTCGCCCGCCTCGTCTCCTCCCCCGACGCCTCCCGCCCTGCCCTCGCCTCGGCCCTCGCCGACGCCGTCATCGCTGCAGCCAACACCAAGACAGCCCCAACAGCAGGAGCTGATGCTGCCGTTGCCGCTGCCTCCCCAGACAGGGCAGGCATCGAGGCGCTGGCGTCAAGCCTGCTGCTGCGAGCGCTGAACCCCACCGACGCCATCTTCCTGCGCGTCCGTGCTTCTGTTGCTGCCGCCCTGCGCGCCCTGCTGCTGCTGCGCCCCGTCAGCCAATCGCAAGCTCTGCTGGCCGCCCAGGCTGCGCTGAGAAAGGCTGCGGCTGGGGACCTGCTGAGCGGGAGTGAGGAGGGTGATGGAGGAGAGGGCGTGGGAGTGATTAAGGTGGTGAGGCTGGTCGAGGAGATGTCTGATGTGGTGCTGGCAGTGCATGAGCCGCTGGTGCGTGTGGCCATGGCTGATGCCACTGCGTCATAGGTCGCAGAAAAGGGGTTGGGTGTATTCTGATCCGGCTCCAACATGGCTGTGGGAGGGTGACGGGTTTTAAAAGGATGCGGTCCAACGCAAGTTGACCAGCGGGGGTGCATGGCGAGGAGGATGTCTAGTCTAGGGCTCTTTCATCGCTGCACATTTCTTTCCAGTAAATAGGAGTGATGTATGGTTGTATATTCAGAGATGGTAGCAATGCATGTTCTTTTTAGACGTTCTTAGAAGCTAAATGCAGTAAGCTCCCTGATTTTTCAGTGAATTTCTGTTATGAAGCAACTGTCACATGGTTTATCTGGGAAATGTATGGGATATTGCTTGGTATGTAAAATGGCTTACTGCGTCCTATGTAAAATTGCTTATGATAAACTAGATCGTGTATATCCCTAGAACGTGTATGGCAGCGTGAGGGCGGGGGGCGGAAGTTCGTGGATGAAAGTTCAGGCTGGTGAAAATTCTCTGAACTGTAGTGAAGCAAGAATACCGCTCCAAAAAGCATCTTAGCGTACTAAACCGTTTCGTCGGCACGGAAAGTGAACTTTTGGGACTCGTGTGTGATTTGAAGTTTTATCCATTCGGTTACGAACGCCTCTGATTGGAGGAGGATACGTGTGAGCACACGGTGCGTGGCGCAGCGTTTGACTCCCGAACCTAAACCGAACCAATCAAAGTTGGGGGCCCTGCCTCCCCTACACCCTAATGCTCACTCAACCGCCCACTCTGAACACGCCCAGCGCCACTCCATACGCCCAGTGGTCGACATTCACAGCCAACGGCCCGCGCGTTACTAGCCCACGACAAAACCAAGATGTTCGAGTTACCCAGACAAAACACGCTGGGCTACCCACAATTTCCGCAACTGTAGTTGTTTTGTCAACCTTTGTTCCACACAGTCCCATTCTGCCCCTAGTGAACGCATGCTCGAGAGAGGAGCACAGGGAAAGATGGGGAAGGAGACTGAAATGGGCATCACGTGTACTTCGGCATTGAACAGCGATGGGAGGAGGGGTGCTGCTTGTTCAACATTCGTATGGCGCGATTCAATACGATGAATTACGTTCCAAATCTGGACAAAGTACTTTGCCGTTCTATACCATTGCGCACCGATTGATTTATACCCACGGAACCTCAGATGAACAATGGTTCGGTCCATCCATCGTCGATATCTATGGTTCTCGTGTTCATCGTTGCTGGACACGGCGAAACAGTTCAGGAAGATTCGTTGCGACGCGCCAGCATCGTGCGTCGCATGCGGCAGTGCCGCATGCTTGATTGTACACTCGTTTTCACTACTATTTAGGTTCAACTACTATTTAAGAGCAGCGGATTACTATTTATATCTCCTCTCGTGCTCAGCACAAGCTGCTCGGGCGGATCACACGATGGCGTCGCCTTCCGTTCCTGGCGCTGGATCTCAGCCGTCTGATTTAGAATCCGGTCCGCCTCCCATCGTTCTCCCCGCAAATGCAGCATTGCGGTCCCCTCCCCTTCCACCGCGCTCCGCCACTGTCGGCGGTCGTCCGCCGCTCCCCCCCGCCTCCTCTGAATCAGTGTCGGAGGGGCCCTCCGCGGCCGCCTCTCCCGTCCGCGGCGGGCGTTACCCCGCCGCAGCCTACACTCCGCGCCCCTCCGCGTCGTACTCGCCGCCCACGTCCGGCGGAACCGGCTACTCCACGCGCCCCGCGCCGACCCCGCGCGCGATTCTGCTGCAGCGGTCGCGGTCGGGCGTGCTGATCGGCGCGCGGTCGTTCGGCGGAACGCAGCTGCCGTGGGAGCCGCCGAAGCGCAAGCCGCCGCATCACACGGCGGAGGTGGGCGCGAGCGACGCCGTGGCGCAGAGCCTGGACTACGAGTAAGCGGGAGTGGGGTAAATGCGGGGGATTGGGAGGGGTTTGGCGGGGGGAAGGGGGAGGGGTTGTGGGAGGGAGAGCACGGCAGCTTGGCAGTCTTTCATGGCTCATCTTCCCCCTTTGCCGCCGCTCGTTACCGCTCGCTCGTTACCGCTCGTGGCTCATCGCCTCCATGTCGCACCCATTCCCCTCCTAACCCCTGTTCTCCCCCCGCTCCCAGGCTCGCGGAGTCGGAGGAGGCGAGGCGGCGGACAGGCTGGGGCCAAGTGGGCGCTCCTGCTGCTCATCGGCTCATCTGTTGCGTCACAGACCGTTTCCCTCCGGTGCTCTCTCCGTGTCTCCCCTTCTCTCTCCGTGTCTCCCCTTCTCTCTCCCGCCCCTTGGCCCGCCCGTCCTACACCCTCCCTTCCCCCTCTTCACCCCTCCCTTCCAGCCGCGTCCTTCCCTTTCCCTCCCCCCACAGGTTAGAAGAGTTGGAGGAGGCGGCGCGGTGGACAGGCTGGGGCTGTGGAAGGCGATAGCGTACACAGCAGCCAATTGGGTGCTCCTGCTGCTCATCCGATGCATTAAAGCCCGCCTCCCCTTGCCTCCCTCCCCTCCCTTTTCTTCCCTCTTCCCCCTCCCCTTTCCCCCCGTCTCCTCCCCCTCCTCTCCCCCTCCCAGGCTGGAGGAATCGGAGGAAGCGCAGGCGGCGGACAGGCTGGGACTGGGGGAGGCGATGATAGAGTACACGGCGGGCAAGTGGGCGCTCCTGGTGCTCATCGGGTGCATTTTGGACAGAGTCCCCTTGCCTCCCTCTCCCCCTATCTTCTTCCCTCTTCCTCTCTTCCCCTCTCCCTCTTCCCCCCTCCTAGATTAGAGGAATCAGAGGAGGCGAGAGCGGCGGATAAGCTGGGCCTGGGCGAGGCGATGGAGTACACGGCAGCCAAGTGGGTGCTGGTGCTGCTCATCGGGTGCATGACGGGCGGTGCGGCCTTCCTGATCAACATGGTGGTGGAGAATGCCATGGGGGTCAAGCTCGCGCTCACCATCGAGCTGCTCAATGGGGGGAGGTATGTGTGCGCGTGCAAGTGCGCGCTGTGTGAGCACATGTGTGCGTGCGTGCGTGCGTGCGTGCGTGCGTGTGTGTTGCACGCACACGATTGAATGTTCAGTATTGTAACCAACCCCACTCTTTCGTTCATACTCCCTCCCAATGCGCCCCTCCCCTCCCAATGCGCCCTACTCTCCCCGCCCAGCCCATTTCTGGCAGTGCTGGTGTACTCGTTACTGAGTGCTCTGCTAGTGGCAGCATCAGCGGCACTCTGTGTGTTTGTGGCGCCAGCAGCAGCGGGGTCGGGGATTCCCGAGGTGCGGGCATACCTCAACGGCGTGGACATGCCACAAGTGCTCTCGCCACTCACTCTGCTCGTTAAGGTCGGTCAATGCCTTGTCAATGTGAGTCAATGCCTGGTCAATGTGAGTCAATGCCTGGTCAATGTGAGTCAATGCCTGGTCAATGTGAGTCAATGCCTGGTCAATGTGAGTCAATGCCTGGTCAATGTGAGTCAATGCCTGGTCAATGTGAGTCAACGCCTGGTCAATGTGAGTCAGTCCCTGGTCAGTGTTAGTCAGTGGCTGGTCAACACGAGTCAGTGCCTGGTCATCATGAGTCAGTACTCTCATCTCTGTTCTGTTGGGTGTTTTTCATCATTCCCTTTCTCCCAATGTAGGAGTACCTTGTAAGGTCAATGCGTACTTGAATGAATGGCGTGCACATGCCAATTTCTGTTTTTTTTTCTCTCTCGCCAGAGCACCCGTTTGGTCAAGCTGAGTCAACGCCAGTCATGGCGAGGCGAGTGTATCAATACGGATCAATGCTAGGTTGTTCCATGCTCTAGCACCTAGTAGCAGCACACCCACCCACTTGGATTCCTGCAAACCCAAAGTATTCCCCACTCATCTCTGCAGCGTGTGTGTGCTCAGTGCTAACCGCACTCACTCAGTGGCAAACAGCCTCACCGCTTCCCACCCCTCTTCACGAACCCCCCTCTCTCTCCTTCAGATACTAGGCAGCATGTGGGCAGAGGAAGGCGGGCTAGCCCTGGGTAAGGAGGGTCCGCTGGGGCACATCGCGGAGACTCTTAAGTGGCACGGCACTTCTCTTGTCTTCATTCCACCCTTCACGTCCCTCCCCTCTCTCTTCTGCAGATCTTGGGCAGCATGGGGGCGGAAGCGGGCGGGCTAGCCCTGGGTAAGGAGGGTCCGCTGGTGCACATCGGAGTCAACTCATTCTCGCCACACTCGGTGGAAAATATCGACCACCGCTTCCCACCCTTTCCACGCCTCCCCTCTCTCTTCTGCAGATATTGGGCAGCATGGGGGCGGAGGCCGGAGGGCTAGCGCTGGGCAAGGAGGGTCCGCTGGTGCACATCGGCGTGACTCTTGAGTGGCACCCAGTGTTAAACAGCTACCACCCCGACACTTATCTCTCCCCCCTCTCTTGCAGATATTAGGCAGCATGGGGGCGGAAGCAGGAGGGCTAGCGCTGGGCAAGGAGGGCCCTCTGGTGCACATCGGCGCCGCCATCGCTGCTCTCTTTGGCCGCGGCTCCATTCGTGACTGGCTTGCTCGCCGGGCTGCCGCGGGTACATCTGGGGGTGGGGATGCAAGCGGGGGTGGCGGCCCGGATGGAAAGAAGGAGGCTCCGTTGCGGGCAGCAGCAGCAGCAGCAGGGACAGGAGGAGTGTCTGAGCCGCTGCTTGCACAGGGTACCACAGAGACCAGCACGGCCAGGGGAGGAGCGGGAGGAGGAAGGGGGAAGGAGGGGGAGCGGCGGCAGTGGTGGCTGCTGTATTCGGACTGGCTGCGTTTCTTTGACAACGACCGGGCGCGTCACGACCTCGTCACTATTGGTGCCGGGGCCGGGGTGGCCGCTGCTTTCCAGTGCCCCTTGGGGGGGATACTCTTTGCTCTCGAGGAACTCACCTCCTGGTAGGCTTTGCTTTGCTGCTCTTGTTTGGCTGCACCTGTGGTAGCCCGGTTGAAGGTGGCTGCTCTACTCGGGTCGGCTGCTCGCCACGACTGCGTCATTATTGGTGCCGCAGCCCCCGGTGTGGCAGGCAGCGGCCTTTCAGGCCCGCTGGGGGGAATTCTCTTGGCTCTTGAAGAGCTCACCTCCTGGTGGTGGGTGCTGCTTTGATCCTCTGTGCCTGGGCCTCTGGTCCTGGTAGTGGCTTGGCCGCTGGGTGTCAATGCCCGCTGGGTGGCAATGGCATCATTGCGGGCCTTCAGGAGCTCACCTCCTGGTGGGTGCTGCTGCTCTCGCACGGGGTATGGGGCTTAAGCAGGGTGCAAATACATCCTCGGGAACTGTTTTCGCCAGAAAAATCTTCTCAATTGCTGCTCGCCTAGTCGACATGGCTGAACCGCCTGGGGGGCGTCCTGATCCTGTTTGGCCTCGACTCGAGGAGCTCACCTCCTGGTATGTGCTGCCACTCTTGCATGGCTGCATCCCTGGTAACCCGGTTGTGTTAACACAATGTAAGCCCCTGATAAAACGGCACGGGCTTTGTAGGTTGCTATCATTATGCTGCTGCTGGTCGTGTGCGTGTGCCCCATGCTGTGGCCCATGCTGTGGCCCATGCTGTGGCCCATGCTGTGGCCCATGCTGTGGCCCATGCTGTGGCCCATGCTGTGGCCCATGCTGTGGCCCATGCTGTGGCCCATGCTGTTGCCCATGCTGTGGCCCATGCTGTGCCCCATGCTGTGGCCCGAGTAGTACTCGACTTGTTTTCAGCCGACGAAAGGACTCGAGTTGCATATTACTCGCCGAGTGATTTTACCCCTACATCCGACTCGCTACTCGTGAAAAATTACGAGTATTCATTACTCGGACCGAGTAATGAAGTATTCGTTCAGGAGCAAGTAATACTCGACTCGTTTCGCGCTAAACAGGTGTTGAAACCGAGTAAACTGCGAGGGATCGTTTACTCGTGAGTATTACTCGAGTCGACTCGTGCAAGTATTTTTCTGGAAAAAGGCCAACTTGTTACTCGCTCAAAACGAGACGCAACTTGCTTGCCTCGTTGCTCATGTCTACTGTGGCCCATGCTGTGCCCATGCTGCTCTGTTCTTGCCTGATTGCTTGTGTGTCTGCCCTGCTGCTGATTGGAGTCCCAAAGGTACGAGAAGCAGGTGGAGCTGAAGGCGCAATTTCTCAAGTTGTTCCCTCCACAACTGCCTGTCTCCCCCCTGCTGCGAACCTTTCTTCTGCCTTGCTCCTCTGTGCACCTAGCTCTCAAGACCTCCCATCCCATCCCAACCACTCTCAACCCCTCCGCCAACCCCTCCAACCCCTGTCAACCAGGTGGAAGAAGAAGGTGGTGTGGAAGGCGCTTTTCACGAACGCAGTGGGCGCCTGCGCTGAGGGCGCTCATCCCCCCAACCCCTCTCAACCCCTCTCAACCCCTCTAAATCAACCAGGTGGAAGAAGAAGGTGGTGTGGAAGGCGCTGTTCACGAACGCAGTGGGCGCCATCGCACTGAGAGCGCTCATGGCCGCATGCGAGGGGGGGCGGTGTGGGCTGTACAGCGATGGGGGCTTCATTCTCTTCGATGCCCAGGTGCATTAAGGCCGTGGATGTGGTGTCGGGGGGGGGGTGGTTATGCACTTGCAACCATGCACTTGCAACCATGCACATGCCACCATCCACATGCAACCATGCACTTGCAACACATGCCACCATGCACATGCCACCATGCACATGCCACCATGCACATGCCACCATGCACATGCCACCATGCACATGCCCATGCCATGCCCATGCACATGCCACCATGCACATGCCACCATGCACATGCCACCGTGCACATGCCACCATTTACCTCGCAGCCGCTGTTCTCATTCATGTACATGCCAACTCAAGTCCCACTCATCCCTGCATCCTCGTGCATGGCATCAGAGGGGAGAGCGACTTCGGGTTGAGGGAGCTGCTACCTGTGTTGGTGTTGGGCATCACAGGGGGCCTCGTGGGGGCGCTCTTCAACACCGCTGTCGCCCGCCTCGCCAAGCTGCGTGCCAAATACATCAACCCGTGAGTCAATCAACCCGTGAGTCAATCAACCCGTGAGTCAATCAACCCGTGAGTCAATCAACCCGTGAGTCAATCAACCCGTGAGTCAATCAACCCGTGAGTCAATCAACCCGTGAGTCAATCAACCCGTGAGTCAATCAACCCGTGAGTCAATCAACCCGTGAGTCAATCAACCCGTGAGTCAATCAACCCGTGAGTCAATCAACCCGTGAGTCCATCAACCCGTGAGTCAATCAACCCGTGAGTCCACACTCGTCAGTCGAACCACTGTGAGGCAACCTGTGGGGCAACCCGTGAGGCAACCCGTGAGTCTATTTGTGCTCTCCATGAATGGTGCTGTCCATCTGTACACTCTCCCTCTGATGCCATGCTCTGATTCTCACACGTCTGCTCAAACTTCTGCTCACCACCCTTTCCCCTTTTCCCCCTGCCCCCCCCCCACCATTACAGCTACGGCCCATGGTGCAAGGTGCTAGAGGCAGCACTCATTGCCATCCTCACCTCCCTTGCCCGCATGGCCCTCCCCTTCGCATCGCGCTGCCTGCCCTGCCCGGAAAACGAGGTCTGCCCGGACCCCAGCCTCAACGGCAACTACATTGCTTTCACCTGCCCGGCGGGCAGCTACAACCCGATGGCTGGGCTGGCCACCCACCACCAACGACAACGCCATCACCAACCTCTTCTCCAGCTCGCCTGCTCAGTACACGTGAGTTTTGAAGTATATCTGTGTCTCAATTGTATCCTGACTCTGCTCTATATATGAGTCCCTCGTGTCAATTCTCCAGCTCGCTCGCCCAGTACACGTGCATGTTTGCACACTATCTGAGTGTTTACACGAGAATACTCAAAAGCGACAGGGCTGGTGTTTGGCCACCACCATACCAGCGCTATCTCGCCAACCTCCATTCCATCTCGCCTGCTGAGTTCCCGCTGCACTCACACCCGCCGCTCGCTGCACTCACACCCGCCACTCGCTGCACTCACACCCGCCGCTCGCTGCACTCACACCCGCCACTCGCTGCACTCACACCCCGCCACTCGCTGCACTCACACCCGCCGCTCGCTGCACTCACACCCGCCACTCGCTGCACTCACACCCGCCACTCGCTGCACTCACACTCTCCAATCGCTGCACTCACACCCGCCACTCTATCACACCCGCCGCTCGCTGCACTCACACCCGCCGCTCGCTGCACTCACACCCGCCACTCGCTGCACTCACACCCGCCACTCGCTGCACTCACACCCGCCACTCGCTGCACTCACACCCGCCACTCGCTGCACTCACACCCGCCACTCGCTGCACTCACACCCGCCACTCGCTGCACTCTCACCCGCCACTCGCTGCACTCACACCCGCCACTCGCTGCACTCAAAACTGCCACTTTCTGTGCTTTCATGTGTTCATTCATTCACCAGCTGCCTCGTGCATTCAGATTCGTTCTTACAGCATCACCCTCTTTCCCCATCGTATTCGCCACTCCACACGTTCTATCCACCACTCCGACGTAAGCCAGTGCGCTCCCGCTCCTTGTCCTTTGTGTGTCTCTTGAACTGTTCATCTCCAGCTTGCGAGCCTTAACCAGTGGCCGCTCCCCATCTGTTTCCGCACCCCCCACAATTACAGCCACCCACACTCGCCCTCTTCTCCCTTCTCTTTTTTCCCCCTCACTGCCCTCGCCCCCCTCACTCCTCACTTTCCTCCCAACCCCTCCCCACCGCAGCCACGCCACGCTGGCGATCTTCTTCCTCGTCTTCTTCTCGCTTGCCATTATCACCAACGGCTGCTCCGTGCCGGCTGGCCTGTTCGTCCCACTCATAGTGGCGGGCGGCACGTACGGCCGCATGATGGGCAAGCTCATGCGCTCACTCACCTCCTCCACCTCCCCCACTCTCTCATCGTTCCTCCTCCCCTCCCTCACCTCTCCCCTTCGGTCGGCCGGGCTACTCTTGTTCGGAGAATCTGGTTCTGACACGGGATTGGACGAGGGGACATACGCGCTGCTCGGCGCCGCGTCCCTATTGGGCGGCTCCATGCGCATGTCTGTCTCCTCTCCGTCATGCTTCTAGAAGTTACCGGGAACCTTCTCCTCTTGCCGCTGATCATGCTCGCAACAAACCATCGCCAAGGAGGTGGGGGACTGTTTCAACGAAGGGGTGGTTGACGAGGCGAGCCACTTAAAACGCCCTGCCCATGCTGGAATACCCCCCGCCCGAGTTCATGAAAAACCTAACAGCAATAGACGGAGTGAGGGGCCCGGCTTGTAGCGCTGAAGAGTGTGGAGCGCGTGGGGGAGGTGCTGAGAGTCCTGCAGACCACCACCCACTCCGCCTTCCCTGTTGTGCAGATAGTGGCTACGAGGGAAGGGGGGAAGCTGGGAGAGGGGGAGAAGGAGGGGGTAGGTGAGGGGGAGGGGGAGGGGGAGGTGCAGGCGGTGCTGTACGGCATGGTACTGCGCTCCAAGCTGCTCAAGCTGCTGGCTGATAAGTCCGCCTTCCAGCGCGGCACTCTCTGCCACCGCTCGCACCAATCCCCTTCACAAGCTCCCTCTTTCTACCAACACTGCAGCTGCCGCCGCAGCTGCTGCTGTGCCGGAACGTAGAGCTGGCCAACGTACCGTGCGGTTTGAGGGTGTGCCGGTCAGTCCACAGGCGACCAATGGGGACACGCCACGTGGCACAGCTGAAGGTGCCTATGCGGAAGGGCTGACACTCGGGGGAAGACTGGCGAAATCTCTGTCCCACAAGCACCGCACGGCGACTGCGATAGTGAACGTTAAGAAGACGCCTTGTATCGAGGATATCGATTTGAGTGTAGAGGAGCAGG